CAGGAATAACATGGCTGCTTTTGGCCTGTGAAATAAATGTGAGTCCCAGGCTTCCATGTATATGAGCATCACTGCTTAATGTTACAAATTGAGAGTTAGTCTCTCCATATAAAAACTACTTAGCTGCTGACATGCATATACTTTGTGGGCATGAAAATAAACTTGTTCTTTTGTTTCCGTCCCCTTTGTCCCCCCTCTCCCCCCCCTTCCCCCCTCCAATTTTAGGAATCCGAAAAGTCAGATGAAGTCAAAAGAGTGGTAAAGTGTGGCGGAGAAAGGAACAGACATTGTTCTCCTGCTCTGCAGTTTGGCAGAGCCTTAAGATGTCTGTGGACATGAACAGCCAGGGCTCCGACAGCAATGAAGAGGACTATGATCCGAACTGTGAGGAGGAGGAAGAAGAAGACGAAGATCCTGGGGACATTGAGGATTATTATGTGGGGGTGGCAAACGATGTGGAGCAACAGGGGGCTGATGCCTTTGATCCTGAGGAATATCTGTTCACCTGCTTGACTTACAAGGAGTCCGAGAGTACCCTGAATGAGCACATGGTCAGCTTGGCCTCTGCGGTAAAGGTGAGCAGCCCTGTGCGAGGGCATGCCTTTAAGGCTGCAAAATCCAACAGGACAGAACTTGAATCACTCAGTCTGTCATCAGAGCAGTAAGTGGCAGATGTTCAGAAGTGCTTTGGATTTGGTTGTGTTTCCAGTGTCACCACAGTGTTCACCTCCACCTTTTGTGTGTGTGCATAAGTGTGTGTGTGTGTGTAAAGCATACTTTTTTCACAGAGCTGCTGTTTTGGTTGTAAAAGGCTTGTTCATTCCTTTGCTTACTTTCCCCTATGGAATCGGCTTACAAAGGTTACTAGGCTGCAATTGTACAAGTAACTCAGGTTTAAAGCCAAATGGAATTTTTGGGTGTGACTTCCACATGGCTTGGGTTAGTAATTGCTCTTCCTCATAGCTTTCAGTTCCTTCTCGTGGGCTTTAATTTTTAATCTCCTTTCCCTTTAATACCCTTCCTTTGCTTCCTACCATCTCAGGGCTTGCCAGAATCTTACTAAAGGGCCCTATCAAATGCAATATTGCAACCAGGAGTAACTTACATTCTAGTGAATTTGCACAATGGGGTTGGCAGACTGGTGCGTAGGCCAGTGAGCCATGGTCACACACTTGTGTTTTGCGCATTCACTCTCTCACTCACACACATTGGCACCTCTTCCAGAAGCTGATCTTATCCTTCCTTTTTCCAGCTGGGCTAGGTCCTGTGAAGAGCAAATCACAGGAGGAAGTAGCCACTGGGGATGGAAGAGAAGGGTAGTCCTCTTGTCTTTTCTCTGTTGCTGTCCTAGGAAATCCTTCTGCACAAACTCCCACATCTGCAGTGCTTCATGGAGGGGCCCACAGCCAAGGCAGAGTATGACCTTTTATCATGAGGTCATTTAGGAAATGGGCTGGGGGATGGGTACTTTATGGGCCTGATGTTACCCATGGCTTACATAGACAGCAGTTGTTACGTTGGCCCCTAAAATGTAATCCTGGATAACACACAGTGAAGTTCTATACTCTGCCCTCTTGTACAGGGAGAATCTAGCTTTTTGACTGAATGTTTTATTTGGTTTATGAACAGTTCCGTGTAACTTAAAAGCATTCGTAATTCTTAGCATGCGATCCATATCTCACTGTTACCAGTGTTGGGATTCTCCCCCAACCAGTACATCAAGCTCTGGAAGTCATTGCCAAAAGGAAGCCCAAGATATACTTTGCAAATAACTGGATCTATTTTCGCTCACAAATTGAGTCCTCAAAGGCATGTTAACAAAAGTTCCAGTTTGACAATTGGATATTATGTTGTGTTTTTTGAGGGGGAATAATCATAGACTTCAAGAGAAGCAGATCAGAGCTCCTGAAACCCTATCATTACCATGACAAATGGCTTGTTTGGAGGTAGGTGCTCTTGCCTCCTGCTGTACCCAATGACTAATTCTCCCTGGGAGGGGGGACACTTGATTTCTGTGCACAGTGAACTGAAGAAAGCAGTAATCTCCTTTGTTTAATACTGCTTGGGCAGTAGACTTAATTAAGAAGCCTGTAACTTGAAGGGGAGAAACTAAAGGCTGGGAGAAGAGGCCCATTCTTAAGCTTGTGCCAGTATTTGCCACTTGCTCCGAGTCATTTGGCATATTGGTGATGCATAGCAGTGACCTGCCATGAGTTTGAAGCCAATTGTGACTATTATAGCTAAAGATGTGATGTACAGAATAGACTTCAGTTGCACTCTGCTGAGGCTTTTACTGATACTTGAAACTTAACTAAATGGCCGCCAAGCAAAGCTCCATGTGTCATATAAACAACTCTGACCCAGATAAGTTTGGGGAAGCTTATCAGGACACCACTGGGATGTGCACACAGAGAATGGGAGTGCAGAATTAGGGTCTGGTGTTACTGGAAATGATATCGAAGCCCATAAGTGCTCTGAGGCTGTCTTCATAAACCCATGGGTACATTCCCTCATAAAAACCACCGCTTCATTCTGCCATCCTCTTCTCCCTCAGTAGCTTTTTAAAACTTATTTTACTTGCCCCGCCCCTTACCCATTTTGGTTTGTTATCTGGCTTTGGGGGCCAGACACCCATCTTGAGACTTGGCAAATACTGTTCTTAAAGATAGTTTCAACAAGCTTCAGTCACCCCCACTCTTACAGACTGTGAGGATCTGTGCCACAGGAGAAACGAGAATTATTACATTTCTGGTAAAAACAACACTGAACGCAATCTGGTGTGAAGAGCTTTAAGCAATTCTTACCTGAGAGAAGGAATTCCTGTTGTGTAATATCTTTGTAAAGGTTTACGGCATGGCTGCACTTGGAATACTGCGTTGAGTTGTGGCCACCTCACCTAAGAAAGGATATTGTGGAGCTGGAAAAAATTCAGAAAAGACCAACCCAGATAATTTTATGGGTTGAAGCACATTCTCTGAGAGGAAAGACTCAAGAGTTGAGGCTTTTCAGTTTAAAATGAAAAAAAGATAGCTAAGAGAGAGGTTTATAAAATTATGCATATTATGGAGACCATGGATAGAGAGTGGAAGGGATTTTCTAATTTCATAATATTAGAATTGGGGGGGGGTCCATGCCAAGAAATGGGGGTTGGCACACAATCAGATTTTGTTGAAATTTTGCAGTTTTGTGTATGTGTGTGTGTGTGTGTGAGAGAGAGAGAATTAAAAAGTATATCTGAGGGTAAGGCATTGTTTTGTCCATGATGGCATAAGCAAAAATCAAACACCAGTTTGCTGTGACATCTGGTTTGTTGGAGTGGGAAACAAAATCCTGTTTGCCCAGGTGCCTGCGTTCAAATGTCACAATGAACTGAGCATGGTTCAAGGTTTCAAAGTCCCAAACCTTGAATCTTAAATTGCAAAGGGAGAGAACAACACCTGATTGCAGGAATAAACTGTTGTTGTACACCTATCATGGAGAAACCTCTGTTTGTCCAGGACATTTGAATTTCTGGCAATTCTTGCAAATACTTCAATGGGAGGCCAGCATTATTCCTCCATTGTTTTGTGTGGGATAAGACTGAGAGAGCATTGCCACTCAAACCTGCCAAGGGTGAGGCTTGGACTAGAGGCTTCTTGGTCTGTGGCTCAGTCTCTTAACCAGCACACCCTACGAGCTCTTGTAAATTGTAGTAGAAGCATACTTGTTGGCCTGTTTCTCAAATGGTAAGCCTGGATGCTTCTCAGTTTAAGTGTCTTGTACTGTGCCACTGAATGTAAGTTCTTGAACATGCAGGCAAACATGTTTTGGAATAGTGGTGGGATACATTTGGGGTGCCTGTGAAATTTTCAGTGGCCATGTCATGGAGGTAGAAATAGCAGAAGCCATGCACATGTGTACATGTGTCTAAAAACAAAGCTGTTACAAACTCTTGACTGTTCTTCTGAGGTGCCTAAACTTAGAGGCAGAAGTTTGTGAAGTGGAGATGAGCCAAGCCTCTTCTCTTGGCTGTGGTCCTTTGTGTCATTGCCATTCTTCTCATACTTGCATGTGTGGGTGCCATAACAGGACTGTGATCAAAGCATTTCCGTCACCCCCACCCCTTTTTTCTGCCCACGGGTGTTCTGGGGAAAGTTCATCCTTCTTGCCCTGAAATGTTTTCAGTGGTCTTTTGAAAAGAAGGACTCTTGCAACAGCCAAGTCATATGGATGTTCTTACGGCCAATGCAGTAATTGAACTGTTTTGATGTGTTTTTTTGCAAGTGTTACGCATGGGCTTTTTATCTTGTGGAAAAGGTGATCACTGGAATCCAGTAAAAGGTCATGGAAGCTTTGTGAGTTCTTCAGTGCTAGCAGTAGGTGCTGGGGGGGGGAGCAATATTAAAATGGTAACTAAGAAATAAAGTGGTGGGAGGGCCACCTTGCAAATGGGATAATGTAAAATGTTTATTATGTAGTGTGTTTTATAGGGGCCGTGTTACATTTCTTCGTTATTGGTCATACCAGAAACCTCTATAGCGAACAGCTCATAAAGCAGCAGAATATTTCAAAAGCATTCGTACATTTGTGAATTGGCCTGGAGCAGCACAGTAAGGGCGAGGTGGTGTGCTGTTAGGGCTTGTTGCTTGATTCCTTCGGTCAGGATAGATAGTCCCAAAGTTCCTTACTGCAGTTTCTGATCTGTTTGTATTGTTTCTGATGCTTTTCCTCTGCTCTGCTTCAGAATAGTGCAAGAAACTCATTAGGGCAGAAGGTAGATCTAGAGCTGGCTCACGGTAAATCTCCTGGAGCTCCCAGTTCAGGACCTGCGGGGAATCCAGCACTTCTTGGCTTAAATATAGCTGTCAGAATAAGCCCTGGTTTTCTCCCTATGCCATTTCCCATGGCATTCCCACCCCTGCGAGGGATCGCCTCCATGGCTAGGACAACTGGTCTGGTTGGCTGTGTTTCAGCAACACTTCTCTATTAAGGTCATAGACAAGAATGCGATATACCGTATTTTTCGGACCATAAGACGCACCTGACCATAAGACGCACCTAGTTTTTAGAGGTGGAAAACAGGGAAAAAAATATTCTGAACCCTGGGGCTCAGTATTCGGTCCATAAGACGCACACACTTTTCCCCTCACTTTTTTTGGAAGAAAAAGTGCGTCTTATGGTCCAAAAAATACGGTACATTACTTTGGTTTTAAAATGGTCAGTAAGAATGGTCCCTCCACTTCCTCACTTTTAAAATGGACCAGTTCTTTGCATTGCATTTTTAGGGTTTGGTGTTGAAAGTCCCGATGTGTATTTGTATAGGCAGATGCCACAGTGTATACCTCAAGTGATGTGGCAGGTAATTGTGAGTTTCTTGTTGGGCAGCTGGCTGCTTAATTATGGAAGGTGCTGAGCCTGGTAAACCTATTTCATTTCTATCCTGCCCTTCCCCCAAGGAGCTCAAGGCAGCACACATAATCTCTCCCCATTTTACCCTCAGAACAACCCTGTGAGTGGGAGGGAGGTTATTGGACCAAAGTAACCCAGGGAGTTTCACGGTGATTTGAACCGGGGTCTCTCCAGTACTAGTCTGACA